GAATAAAGTGGCTGGCTCGGAGTCAAATTACATGCAATGGAAAAGGTAAGCATGAGACTCCCTGTACCCACAACTTCCTTTGTTCCTTGGCAAATGAGACTTGGAAGAACCACCCACTATTCTTGTGTTAATCACATGGCTCATGTTCCAGTTTCCAAGCTCACATATATTGATGGTCACCATGTCACCCTGTTCCTGCGTGGGCTTTCAGAGAACAGGTTGGAACTAGAGAAGTTCTTGGTCCAGTTACAGCCTGGGTCTTTACTGCCTTTGGAGCCTGAACCAAACAGCCACTAGTTTGGTGAAGGGATCAGGTCTATCCATCGCACTTGGCTCCAGAGGAAGCCCTGCACCTCTGGGCCAGGGGATGCACAGATGGCAGCTCTTGTGAGGGCATGTGGGGAGGCCACATCACCACATCACCATTCATTTATGGCGCTTTAGCCCCCGTCCCCGTTTCCCTACCACATACCCACCCTTCTGGGACTTGCAGCAACCCGGAAAGCCTGCTCCTCCTGCCTCGTCTGTGTGTGCCATCAGTGCAGCCAGGTGGCATGGGGCTCACACCTTGACCACCCAGGCCCCACCACGAGCTGCTTTCTCCTCACCTGCCTGGGAGGCTCCTCAGGGTGTCAGGGAGGAAAGCGGGCGCAGGCAGAGTGGGGTGGCGGGGCAGCTGTGCCAGGGGGGGAAGGGGAGCAGTTGGCTGGTGCTCTTGGACCTTGACTTAAACAGCGCTGAAATCTTTCTTCCTACTGGGAACAGCTTGGCTCGCAGTCATGAGAAACTGTCGGGAAGAGCGCGTGGCAGCAGGGGACAATTGGCAACATGGGATTTCTAGTGCCAGCCCTGGCATTTGGAGGAAAGCTGGAAGCTGTGTGCTGTGCGACAGCTGGTGACGGCAGCTGCAACAGAGACTGTGGGACCATACTGATCAGCAGTGTCAGGGTTTAGGCAGCGGGGGCTGCTGGTGGGCCAGGAACTGCCCTGTGTTCTTAATAGCTGCGTCCAGCCAGTACAGAAATGAACAGAAACAGCCCATCACCCACCAAAATTGCAGCCTGTCAGGGGAACACAGGGCACCACAGCTCAAATATATTTAAGAAAGAGCAGTAAGGGGGCAGGAGAAAACAAAAGAAACAAACTGGAGGAGGCATGTGGAAGATGTTGGGGGCACCACTGGATGTGCACACTCAGTAGAAGGTGCTTGATGCCAAAGGAAGGACGCCTCCAAGGTGACTGCGGCCTGTAGGCAACTTATGCCAGGGCAGGGACACTGGTGAGGAACAGCAGATGACCAGTGCCGGGGCACGGACACACCTGAGGGGATATTGTCCCTGTTCTAGATGGGCAACACGGGATCCAAAAGAATAATCCTTCAAAATACCTCCAGTCAAGTTTCTTTGAGGAAAGGAAGCGAGGCAGGAAATGCACTCAAGAGGAGCCTGAGCTTCTCCATCTTTAGCCCATTTTCCTCATTCCCCTTGGATCTTCCCTTGCTCCTGCAGTTTCCCTCACTTGCTTTCTTGTCCTGTCTCCTCTTTGGACCCCTGTCCTCTCATCTCTTTTCAAAGAATCATAGAATCATAGAATCACTTTGGTTGGAAAAGACCTTTGAGATCATCGAGTCCAACCTTTAACCTAACCCTGCCATCCCACCACTAAACCATGTCCCTAAGCACCTCATCTATCATTCTTTTAAATACCTCCAGGGATGGGGTCTTGACCCCCTCCCTGGGCAGCCCATTTCAGAGCCTGACAACCCTTTCGGTGAAGAAGTTTTTCCTAATGTCTAGCCTAAACCTGCC